GGAACCGATTACAAGGAACTATATGTGAACTCCTCCCTGGGGGGCAGACAACAGAAAAGTGGGTGAAGGGAGACGTCAGACAGTGCAAGATATGACAAAATACCAATTTATAAACTATCAAGGGTTCATGAGGGAGGGGGAATGGGGAGGGAGGGGAAAAATGAGGAGCTGATGCCAGGGGCTTAAGTGGAGAGCAGATGTTTTGAGAATGTTGAGGATGATGAATGTACAAATATGCATTACACAATTGATGTATGTATGGATTGTGATAAGAGTTGTACAAGTCCCCAATAAAATGATTTTTTTTTAAAAGAAAGAAATAGTATCGACATCTATAATTGTGCAAGAGGGAACTTCTTACTCCTTCTTTGTATGCCAGCCCTCCTGGAAAGGAACTTGGTGATAAGTATATCCTCCCAAATAATATTGGAATAATTCCTACAGCATAATCTAAGATGTAGACAGATATTCATCCATTAAATTTTTATCACAGTGTTATTTTAATAGAGAAGTTCTAGAATCCAGGTAATGTCAGCATTAAAGAAATGGTTAATTATAACAAATGATAAATGATCTTCCATCTTACAACACGGTGTTTACAAAATGTTTCTAATGCCATGCGAAATTAGAAAAGTGTGAAATGGAAATAAAGCCATTTTTTAAATTACATATGCAGTATGAACTCGGCTCACAAGGTTATAAAGAAATATACAAAATTTTACTGGTATTTGCTCCTGGAAGATGAGATTATGACTAGTTTATGGAATTAACTCATCATTGTTTGATTCACCTCTTCATAGCAGACCTGTGATTTTTTCCCATTTTCTAGTAAAAGAACTGGGTAGTTTTTAGGTGTTAAGTGTTTCTATAACTTGTAAAATGAGACAAAGCTTTTTATGCTATGTTTCTCAGAAAAGGACAAAGCAACATACAATGTCAGTGTCTTAAAGTGTAACTTTATATTTTAAGGGATTATAAATTGCAATCATTATAAAATTTATTATGAAATTATTTGGGGGTGGTAAATTGCTTGTCCTTGATGAGGTAAATTAATATTAATTTTCATACTGTGTTAACTATTCTTGCTCATTGTTTTAAAAAGATATATTGTAATGCATGTCTTAATGAAAGGGTTTTTGTTTAATGTTCATTTTTGTATTTGTAGTGTGTGCAGAAGCCTATAATCCTGATGAAGAAGAAGATGATGCTGAGTCCAGGGTATGTAATTTACTGAGTAAATTAATTTTACGTTGATACTGCTATATGCTATAAAGAAAATTAAAATAGAAAAGATATAAGCAGCCATGTGTAGTTTAATAGGAGACATAATGGACATATTTTCACGACCACATTTTGGCACATATGACTATAATAGTTATACAGTTTTTCCAACTGCTCCCTACTCGTAGGGTATTTTTGTATGCAGGGCAGCAGTGTATGAAGATACATGGGGTGAAGCATGTTGACAAAAACCTGTACCCTCATCCTGTTTGTGTAAATGATGGCATTTCTTTCCCAAGTGTGACCTTTGAAAGCCTCTGTCTACCTGAGTTCTTGTTTTCTGTCCAAAGAGCATCTGACCCCTCTTGTAAGGCCTGTGGGAAGTAGTCAGTCTCTGGATATCAGAAGTGTCTCTTTTTGGGTAAAAGGAAAGATATACATAATAACTCACTGTGATTGTGGATTTTTTTGTTGTTGTTTTGCAAAATACAATCTGGTAGTGAAAAATGTTTTTAGTTTTTCTCAGGATTATAACATTATTTTTTTCTAAGACAGATACCCAGTGTATTAGTCTGGGTACTTTGGAGAAACAAATCCACAGAGACTCATGTATAAGAGAGAGTTTTATGTAAAGGTTAAGTGCGCATCAAGAAAACATTCCAACCCAGTGCTGGCCAAGCCCACAAGTCCAACATTAGCCCATTAACCCATATGTCCAACACCAATCCACAAAGTGCTCCTCCATCTCACAAAGCAGACACAATGACGCCGACTGCAGGAGGAAAGCCAAGTCAGTGAATGTGTAAGCATCTCAGCGCTGACAGGGGTCTCCACAGGGGTGCTCCAGCACCCAGGGCTGCATCGGGTGAGGTCCATGTGGCTTCTCCTCAGGCATGTCTTGCAGGAAGTCAGCATTTCAAACCGAAGCAGGGAACTGCTAAGGCAGCTTCACCTTGGTCCGACCATCACAAAGCAAGAGACCGGAGAACTAGAAAGGCGAGGCTCACCGAGCCATTTATCCCTCTGCCTTTCAATTAATCCCACATGTGTGTATTGGCCAGGTTGGCAAATTAAACTAACTCACCCAGTAAAGAAAAATACTGAGAAAGGCTTTCTGTTTCTAGTGATTTATAACCACAGAAGCTTAATCAGAGACAAACCAACCTCGGAACTACATGGAATGTGTTGTTACAGAAGTTTTTAGTTTAGTTTTTAAAAATCGACGAGTTTGTCCAGAAACTGATTTCTTAGAGGCCCAGTATTTTTGTTTGAACTTCTTCAGTGTCCAGTGAAGTCATTTTCAAGCTACGTCCTTTAGCTCAGTTCTTTTGTTATTTATTCTGTAAAAAGGAAACTATGCGATTGAGCCCGGAGATGGAAAACAATCATTTACTCTTTACGGAGGAATGTTGTGCACTGAACTATAGCACTGTAGGGTAAGTGCTGGGCAACTGAGCTCAAGGTCAGCAGTTCAAACCCTTTGCTAGCTCCTCAGGACAAAGCTGCGCCTGTTTGCTCCTGTAAAGAATTACAGTCTCAGAAACTCAACAGAAGGGCCCTAGCAATGGGATTCCCCCTGATGGCAGAGGGTTTGGCCATCACTTCAGAATTCCAGTTTCTCAGGAGAGTTTCTCATAGACCCAGGTTTGGGTGGCAGGATGAGGGGGTGAGAGTAGAGGCAGGACAAGAGGCAGGATAAAACATGTAGAAACTGGTAAAGAAAAGCTCATCAATTTTTTAATGGAGCCATTCTTTGTTCCAATAATATACATTTTGGGCATGGGAGGTTCAAGCCCACCAGCGGACCTGAGGGAGAAAGATGAGGCTATGGGTAGACATGATAGTGGGGCAGGAGGAAAGAAAAATAGGAAGAAGAAAGTAAAAATTATGTATCTAGGTATAAATCTAGATATGTAAATACATAAATATATAAAGATGGGTGTATTTGTCTATGTATGTATAGATATGTAAATACAACAAGGAATCAGATAGAGACTTTGGGTCTCTACTTAAACCTTACCTCAGTACAAGAACAGTTTGATCTAATAATGTGGCATTGTATGATACTCACCTTCCCAATACAATCACTGAAGACAAAATGGGTGCATAAGCAAACGTGGTGAAGAAAGATGATGGTGCCCAGCTATTAAAAGATATTGTGTCTGGGGTCTTAAGTCTTGAAGTTAAACAAGAGGCCATCTAGCAGGGAAGCAACAAAGCCTTCAAGGAAGAAGCACACCAGCATGTTTGATCATGAGGTGTCCATGGGGATAAGTATCAGAAGTTCAAAAACAAGCAATCATTGCTGTGAAGGAGCATGGACATAGTGGACACCCAAAACCCACCTGTTAGATAATTGGACGGTCCCTCACAGAAGGGCCACACCAAAGGGATGACATATCCAGAGTGTGATATAGCGCTGATGAAACCCAATAACTGTCCTCTAGTTCTTTAATATTTCCTCCCCTTACTCTTATGGTCTTTGTTTTAACTCATTAATCTTGTTAAACATGCGTATGTTCATTTGTATAATTAAGGGTGATTGATGCATGAAAACCAAGATAGATAACCCTTCAGAAAGAGTGATGGGAGTAATGATACCATGAGGGTATGAGAAGGTGGGGGAGGGGTAAAGGGGGCGCTGATAACATTGATGACTATATAACCCTCCTCAAGGGAAACACATAACAGAATTGCAAGTGAATGGATATATTGGATGGTGTGAGATATGACGTGTGTGTGTGTAAATTCCTGGGGGGAGGGTGAAGGGAGGGAATAAAGGAGAGCTGATAGCAAAGAGTTCATGAAGAAAGAAATTGTTTTGAAACTGATGGTGGTAGCAATTGTAAAATTATGCTTCATCTGATTAAATTATGGATTGTTGTAATATCTATAAGAGCTCCCAATAAAAATATTAAAAATATTTTTTAAAAAGCAGGTCATGAATAATTACAAAATTGTTGAGTCCTTGAGTCAATTTCAACTCACAGTGATTCTGTGGGACAGCCTGTAACTGTCCTGTTGGTTTTCCCAGGCTGTAAACTAACTGTACGGGGCAGATTGCCAAAAAGACTGGTGAGTTCAGACCAGGAACCTTTCATTTACGAGCAGAGTGCTTTGCCTTTATACTATTACTCGGGCCAGTTCATTACAAACTGTGAAAAACTGAAAGGACAATAAAATAGGGTATAGAGATCACTGACAATATAGATGCTATTAGCAAAGTGTGGTGAGGAAATAAGATGGTCCCCAGCTATTGTGAAGAATAGCATCTGGGTCTTAAAGGTTTATTTTAAAACAAGTGAGGTGGCAGCTAAATCCACATGGAAGGAGCACACCAGCCTGTCTTACCCAACGATTGTAAATAATAAAGTCCAAGATCAGAGGAGGGAATTGTATTAGCGCTTAAGTTCTGAGCACCCAGTTTGCAGAAGATCTATGGATACAGTGAAAGCCCAAATCCATGTGCAGAGTTCCTTCCCACTGGGATTAAGCCTCCACTGAACTCCCTCAGATCATTGACTAGGTTGTGAATAGCCTTACTCTCAGACAGAGTGCATTAGAAAAGAGTACTGCAGATATAGTTAGGTTAAAATTTAATGTATTATTTGTTTTCCCTTTTGATCCATTTTTTATTTGTTCTGTTATCCCCTACTGTCTCTTGGATTGAAGTTTTTCTATTTTATTTTGTTGTGATTGTGTGATTTTCTTTTTGTGAAATCCAGGGTAGGTAAAAACTTAGAGATAGTCGCTAGATTAATCGCTCTTTAGGATGATGGCATGGGAGATTGGGGACTGTGGGGAGCTTATGATAATGGGTACAGGAATGAAGGAAATGTTCTAAAATTGATTTTGTACAACTCTTTTTAATATATTCAAGCCATTAAATTGTATGGTTTGTGAACTGCATGCCAATGAAAGGTTAGAAACAAACTCCCAACATTATATTTTATAATGTAAAATATAGATATTTTACATTATATCTGTAAATTACATAATTGTATGTATAATCAATAATAAAGTCCAAGATCAGAAGAAAGCCTCCTTGAGTTGAGACCAGAAGGATGGTCAAGTGCTTAGGTTTGCATGAAGGATGGGGAGGTGGCGGGGGCGGGGAGTAGGAGGAGTGAGGAGCTCAGGAGTTTGAGGAATGAAGAGAGTTGTGTGTGAGGAGCTCAGGTAAGGGGGGGCGTAGGGGGGGGGATGGAAGTATCCGAATGTGTGATGGAATCTATTGAGGGATTTAAAGCTGAAGAATGGGATGTGCTGACTTAAAATTCTAAAAGATTACATTCAACGGTGGGGAACATGGATTGGATAAGTAGAAAACAATTTTGTGTCAATTTCTCTGTCCTAACAAAATAGGTGTATTTCTGTTCAATAAAATGTCTTAAGTTAAATCTTCTGAATTGGTTTTCTAATGTGCTAGATTGAAAGGCAGTGGGTGTGGTCGTTTGGAGCAGAGTCTGCAAACTTCTGGGGGTCTTCTGGGGCCGCAGGCCTGGCAGTCTCCGTTGTCCCTGCACAGCTCTGCCGCTGCAGCTTGAAAGCAGCACGGTGACATGGAAGGAAATTTGAATTTCAGATTATTTTCAGTCATATCATTTTCCTTTATAGTCAATAGGTAAAACTATTTTTAGCTTGAGAGAAGAACACAAACAGATAAAAACCCATGGGTGATAGTGTACTTACTGGCGGAGGACAGTAACTGTGCACCCAGCCTGCCCGAGATGTTTTCGTCTGATGTACATTCGGGTCACTGTGAGTTGGAACTGAACTCCAGGGCACCTAACAACACCCCCCACCCCAGCCAGCCTGGGATGACCCCCCCACTCTGCAGCACAGACTCCTGCCAATGGAGAAGTCGCTTTTCCCGAGTCTCGACTGGCACCTGATGCACAGGGCCATGTGGTTTGGGGCCATCCAGTGGGTTCCCATTCGCAGTGACCCCATGTACAAGGGAATGAAGCTGCCCATCCTGTGCCATCTCCCAGTTGTTGCTGTTTGAGCCCATTGCTGCTGCGACCACTGTGTCAGTCCATCTGGTTAGGGTCTTCCTCTTTTCCACTTTCCCAAGCCGGATGTGCTTTTCCAGGACTTTACCCTCCTGGTCACATGTCCAAAGTACAAGAAGGGAAGTCTCGTCATTGCTGCTTCGCCGGAGCTTTCTGGCAGTGCTTCTTCCAAAACGAAAATGAGTTAATACTTCTAAGAGCCCTTAAAATAGCACCTAGCACACTGTGGATGATAAATAAATGTCTTTAATAAATGAGATTTCTATCTTAGAATCCAAGATAAATGTTCGAAGAATGAAGATCCCAGTGGGCCTTTCAGTGCAGTGTGGGAATGCTGACCCGGGGTTGGCAGCTCACATCCACCAGCTGGTCCTGGGGAGAATGAGGAGGCTCGTCTGTTCCCGTAAAGCTATGCAAAGCCTCAGCAGCCTAGGGTAGGGCCACAGCGAGTCAAAGTGACTCGATGGCAGTAGGTTGCTTTTGTTTTTTTTTGGTACAACAAAAATCCCACGTGGGCACATTGCTGAAGGCTTAGTTATCCAGGAGCGATTTCATGCAGAGGTAGGATGACACTGAGGCCAGTGTGGAAAACAAAAAAGAGAGCATGAGAAAACCTCTTTAGAAATGAGAGGATTTAAGGACTGGTTGCTTTCCGAGACCCGAGTTTCCGCGGGAAGACCGCATCCTGAGGAGTGCACGGGCTCTGTGGCAGCTGTATAATAAAGGCGGGTTCCCGATTCCCACAGGTCGGTTTACAGGTTGTCCTTTTGCACTCAGGCTGCTGGCAGGAATTTGGGGGTCTTTCTGGCCAATCACAGACCTTTGCACCATCAGCTTGCTAACCTGGAGTAAAATACTTGGGGGGCGGGAAGGTGTATGGGGGAGAAGCTGTTACAATGATGAAGGCACCCCTTGAAACAGAGTCTGCTACCATACCCTGCTTAGTGTCCTGCTATTGATTGCTAGCCACTTCAGGTGAACCTCAGAACTAATGATTCAACGTCTCCCTCATTGTTATTAGGATATTCTGCCTCCTTTAAGAGCCTGCAAAGTGAGTAACTGGTTAATAATGGAGTGTTTTATTGGCATCCTTTCAGATTATTCATCCAAAAACTGATGATCAAAGAAATAGATTGCAAGAGGCTTGTAAAGACATCCTGCTGTTTAAGAACTTGGATCCGGTAAGATAAGTCTCCATGGCGGGAATGATTTTTTCTCAGTGCTGGTGTGAAAGACTGTGAGGGGCCTGGGTGTGATCCTTACAAGCTAATGAAAGAGCCCTGGTAGTGCCGTGGTACGTGCTCGACTTCTCATCCAAAAGCCGGGGCTTCAAACCCATCCAGTGGCTCTGTGGGAGAACTCCCTGGCAATCGGCTCCGGTGTAAACGACAGCCTAGAAACCCCAGTGGAGCAGCTCTGCACTGTCACCTGGGTCACCATCAATCCAAAACCAACTCGAGAACACGCTGAAAACAGCAACAGACAAGCTAGCCTGTTGCTGTTTAGGGACACTGGGGTCAGAAACCAAGGATTTTATTTATCAGGAAATCAACAAGATCAGTAGTCAGCCTTTGTGCTGGTCTCTCCCCACGCCCATCCTGAGAGTGCAGAGGGCCATGAGCATGTTCATACAGTGGGCCCCGTTTCAGGAGAGAAACACTGAGGTTGGGGGATCCCCTGCGTGGAGAGCAGAGTCAGCTGTCTGGCCATTTGTTTGGATGGAGCCAGTCTTCATCCCTCGAGGTTATTTGTTATAAGCACGACCCTGCGAAACGGTTTAGATGAAGAGCACTTGGTTAAGCCTTGCATTCTTTGTACAGCCAGCATGTCCTCGTGGCCCAGGGTCGGTTTCCTATCTCAACAGCTAAGCCATGGGGTGTGTGTGTGTGTGTGTGTGTGTGTGTGTGTGTGTGTGTGTGTGTGGCGGAGGGAGCTGTGGTGGTATGGTTATGCAATGGGCTACAAACCACGAGGTCAGCACTTTGAAAGCACCATATGTTGTATGGGAGAAAGACAAAGCTTTCTACTCCTGTCAAGAGTTACAGTCTCAGAAACCCACAGGGGCAGTCCTACTCTATCCTATAGTGTGTGTGTGTGTGTGTGTGTGTGTGTGTGTGTGTAGTTATAATTTAATGTCAGTCTTCTTTATCATGCATATTTTCAAAGTAACATTTTCCTGGGCAGGGATATTTTGTTCTTCTGAGGATTTTAAAGTTGGTTACAAGTTGTGCTGCTAACTACAATGTCGGGTGGTTTGAAACCACTGCCTGCTCCACAGGAGAATGATGAAGCATTCCACTCCTGTAAACAGTTCTGTCTAGTCTTGGAAACCCTCAGTGGCAGTTCTACCCTGTCTGTATTACAGAATTGAGTCACTGGCAGTCAGTTTGGATTTGGGTTTAAACTGTGGTTGTAAGTGTATTTCCTGAACACCCTCTCAGTAAGTGTGAGCATGCTGCTCAGATGTTGTTCTGCACTCTGCCCTAAATGTTCAGCTTCTGTCCTCACAGGTTATGTGTATTGTACTCCTGTCTAAACAGGATTTTGGGAAATATGATGGGGTACCCAAAAAAGCCCAAATTGCGCTGGGTGGAGCAGAGCTTTCGTAGTTCGCATTTTCCCCACTGGGTGAGCATTGAGCTACTCCCTCCGAGTTAGTGCACCCAGTGGCATTGCCTGGGAAGGTTCTCTCTAGTCACAGTGAATTTTTTCATAAAAGCAGTTTTGCTCAAACCTCATTTTTTGTGACGGCTGATTTATGAGAACACCATGCGGCTGTGAAATTTTGTTTCCTGCTCAGGAAAAATCCTGCAGAAACCGTTGTGATATTGAACACAACACAAGACCACTTTCGGAAAAACTCAAATGTACAAGTGTTTTTCTTGTTTCCAAAAAGTTGATGTGTCATCAAACCTCATGGTGGACATCTGTCAACTTCCCAGACCGACAAAAATGTTGACTTATAATGCATTTGGAGTTCGTTCCACCAAGTCAGACTGTTAATCAAGCTTTCTATTTAGAGGTTCTGAAAAGATAGCATAACACTGTGTGACCCAAAAAGGCCTGATTTGTGGCAGACAGGACTGGTTTTGCCACCATGACAATGCACTTGCTCATGCAACCATCTCATTTTTTTTGCTTGGCAGAAAACAGCATGCCTCTCTTGCCCCACACACCTTACTCACCAGACCTCTCTTAGTGCAACTTCTTTTTGTTTCCACAAATGCAGAGGTACATGAAAGGACAGCAATTTGACGAGATAGAAGAGGTGAAGAAAAACAAGGGAGGGGCTGTCAGCCATCCAAACAGATGAGTTTGAAAAATGTGTCTAAGAATGGAATCATAGATTTGACAAATGTACTAAGTAATGTACTTAGTACTAAGTAATGGAGAGTACTTTGAAGGTGATAAGGTTTTATTAAAATATTTAAATACATAGCTTAAAAAATATTCCAGGTTTTGGGGGGATACCCCCTTGTAGCCCTGCTGCCATAATCTGAATGTGTAACTTGAGCTGGCTTTCATAATTCTCCCAACTACCATTTTTAGCTCAGACTCAGCTTTTTAATTGTCAGATTCCTGTCCTAGAGAAGGAAGCATTAAATCAAGATCCACTATTCGTATGATGAAGTCTCTTTTAAAAGGGACATTTTTGTAAAGGTAGAGGTACTGCGATGTTTCATGTCTTCTGCATTGGGTCATGTTTATACCCAGAAATGTAGTTGAAGCCTTCTTTGTTTATAACATTATTCATGTGTGTATCATCTTCTGCAGGAACTCAGATGACAGTGTGTGATGTTGATCTCATAGGGCTACACATTACCAGTTCATATGCCCAGCTCTGAGGCCTGCTGGAGCCCTTCAGGCCAAAGGTTGATTAGCCACTTCTCCACCCATTCTCTTGATGGCAGGAATTTTGTCACTTCCTAGGTAGCACATGGCCCTCGGGCCTCTGCACATACTGCTGCGATTGTTAGTTGGTGTTGACTCTGACTCCAGCGATTCAGTAGTTGGAGTAGGGCAGCTGCATGGGGTTTTCAAGGCTCTGACTTTTAGAAACAGGTAACTGGGCCTGCCTTCCAAAGCCCTGCTGAGCATCTTCAAACCCCCAAGCTTTAAGCCAGTAGGCAAGTGCCTTTTTCTTTTTTTAAAAAATGCTTTCCAGACTTCCTCTGCTCAGACCAGATTTTCAGGGAAAAAAAACAAACAAAAAACTCAGAACCATTGAACAAGAATGTTCCCAGTTAACCTTTTATGTTTATTTAGATGTTGTTGGTAGGTGCCATTGAATTGATTTCAGACCCATAGTGATCCTGTGCCCAACAGAATAAAACAGCACCCGGTACTGCACCATCCCCACAACTGTTCCTCTTCTTGAACTCATGGTTGCAAGTGTCAGTCCATCTCCTTGAGACCCTCCACTCCTTTGCTGTCCCTCTACCAAGCATGATGCCCTTCACCAGGTAGCCGTCCCCTCCTGACAATGTCCAAAGCATGCAAGGTGTACAGACTTAATAATAAATGATAGACCTGGATGTGTGTGTTACTTGTAATAAGAAAACGACATGTATTCTACATAATCTACAACCAAATCTAAAGTTATACCAGTGGTGCACCAGGGCCTGTTTCAATGCCCGGGTTGATCCCGAGGCCAGCCCTCTGTGCAGGTTTCTCCAGGCTCTCTGCAGTTATCCCGCAGGAGCTCACAAGAATGAGGTTGCTGGTGATTTTTTCTGGCAATGGAAGACTCACATGATGGAAAGATAAAACGGTGAGGAGTGTGTAGTCTTTGAATGGAAAAAATCCTCTTGATGGTAGTAAATAGTAAAGTCAGTGGCTGAAGGGATTTTATAAAATTTTGGTGGGCTTCCAAATAATGCCAAATATCAGTTCTCTAGAATAACATTTGTTCTATGGAAATACAGGAGAGATACAAACTACGTGATCTCTCACCTCTAGTAGCCCCTGCATAGATACAACTCTGAGTGTGTACCTAATGTGCGGTCATTCTAATAGTGAGTTAAAACTAAATCAGTGTTTAACTCGTTTACTCCAGATACACCCAGAAGACAGCTGTAAAATCGATTGTCCTTTTAAAAAGTTATTAAGATAATAGTTTTACATGAAAGAATCTTAGAGATCCGCAAAGGTGTTTCTCAGACTTTAATATGCCTACAAAGGATCCAAGCATCTCGTTAAAAATGCGGATTCCTATTCAGGTCTGTTTCTCAGGAGCTTCCCAGGTGGTGTCATCCTTGCTGGTCCGAAACCATCCTTTGAACAGCAAGGATGAGAGCCAGAGGTGAAAATGTAGCTGAGTCGGGGGTACTGCCACATTACTCTGTTTGTATACTTTCCTATTTTAATTCTTCAATAGGGACTACCCAGTGACAATCTTTTGTCTATACGCAAAGTCGTTAACAGGCACGATGGATGCATGATATAGTTGCTAGACTATTTTCCCGGGATATTGTTTTGTTTTTTTGTATTTTTTTGACGGGGTAGGGGTGGAAGGATAATGTTTTTTTCAGTCCACCCTCAAGTGGCCACTTTGCCATTTCAACACAACTATTTTAGACACATTGTGGAGTTTTGAGTTGCATTTAAATTATTAAAGCATTGCATTAGCATATTCTAGCATAGGCTATCTGCTTAATTTAAGTGACTCTATATATAAACAAAACTTTACACTGTGTGCTGGTGGTCTTCAATATCTACTTTAAAATCCAGTTTTTGGGGTGTAAAAAGGACAGGGGGGCGACATCCGACCTCCTCCAACTTCCTAAGGGGGGGAGAGAACTGCCAACATCAAGCTTCCTAAGGTCGATTCCAGCCCTCAGCCTTCTTACAAATTCTCAGGCCGACCCTCCCGCACCACCCTCTCTTTCTCAGCTGGGATCCATAAGCCATTGCACTGGTTGCATGCAGCTCACAGACCATACTCACGAATGTGGAGTTTATTTGGAAAGTTTACAGGTCACAGTTCAGGATCCGAATGCTCAAGATAAAGCTCTTAGGTCAGGGCAGGTTTTTCTTTTCTCACAGGCCTGCCACTCTCCGGTCCTCAGCCTCTCAGTCACGTGGCCCATTGGCCCCTGCCCTGCTCAGTCAGTGTTATATACAGAGCTCTTTTTAGCAATGCCAAAAAAGGCCACAAACTCCATTCAATTATAAGCTGCAG